AGGTCTCCCGTTACCTGCGGTCCAACAGTTCCGGGCATAATGCCCAACTTTCCCGCACAAGTAGCATGATAAGACGCTCTATTGATTACCGCCAACACAAGGTCCCCCATTCCCATAACCCTGGATCTGCGGAATAGAGGTCGCCAAACAAAATTTTCCTTCCACTCATATCCGACCAAATCCAAGCCTTGATATATGTTGTGTACCCGCACCCAGTGCCACCCACGTCAAATTTTTTTTTTTTCCCCTGACCCACCCCACCCGAGCTTATTAATTTTTTTTGTAGCCCAGTTCACCCGGCAGCTGCAGTAGAATCCTTACCCGTACCCAGCCACACCCAGGCCTAAATTTTATCCACCCACATCAGCCCGCACCCACGACCAATTTTTCATCCACCCATGCCCGACCGCACCCATGCCAAAGTTTACCACCCACCCTGCACTTTTTTTCTTCCCTGATTTCAAACTCAGGTCTATGCATGTTAGAAATTCAATTTCCATCTTTAAACCACCGCGCTCGTGACAACTTTGTTTGCAATTCGATAAGACATTCGAAAGCTTGAAGTTACATAATTGAGAAAATGACAAGCATATCAAACTTTCGAACGGGTTGCAAAGGTGGGTCAACGAATTTTTTTTTTCTCTTTCAAAAAGGCCAAGTGCCCAAGGCTTGCATTACAAGTTACAACATTCCAATTTCGTGACTAAAAAAAAAATCTGCATAACCCCGAGAGAGGCATTGATTGCTTCCCCCAAAAGGAGAAGGATTGACCTCGTCTCACATGCTCCACTAAAAAAACTGCATAACCCCAAGAGAGAGGCATTGATTACTTCCCCCCAAATCGCCCAGCCCCACTCCACTGCTCACCGCATGCACAAAAGACCAAAAACAAAGGGCAGCGAATCTTTCCAGATGTACCGCAAGATTCATTCCCTTTTTTTTTTTTTTTTTTTAAAGGCTAATTCTTTTAAGCCCAATGAATTCAATTACCTGTCAAATTTGGACAGGACGGCCTTTCACTAGCTTTCAGGCCTTTTTTTTATTTGTCATTATAGTATTACGGGGAGCCCCGTAGCAGCCACATCCGTGCTCAAGCCTCCAACGAGGGAACATGTGGGAGGTGCACCCACCAGCAGGTGCGATGCCTGCTACAGCAGGTGGGCGATACCGGCCAGGGGTCAGGCGGTAGTATCAGGACCGAGCTTCTTCGATGGGCCAATCACTCTGCCTCCCCTCCGGTCCCCTCCCCCTATCAACATCAGTAGTCTCTGCTCAATGCCGACACATTTGGTAAGTAGTGGAGTGAGGTCCGTTGGTTTGTGACTCTGCATAGCGTCTTTTGCCCATTCTTTTATGGCCTACTCCCACAACTGGTGAAAAAGAACAACGGTAGGAAAATAAGAACGAGGGGGCCGATTTTTTACTAACAGAACCCCAATACCTGCCACATTGCCGGTGAAAAGGGCCCAAGCTAAATTAGCATTGTAAGGTGGCCCTAATACTACCTACTACGTGGAAGGCTAGTACCTATACTTGCTTTATGGCCTACAGGCTTCGGGTCACCTAGACCAAACCTCCACCCAACCGTACCCGCCCAGGGAATCGAGACAACACCCGGCCATACCCCACTGAAACTTTCCCACCCTGCCCAGCCATGCCCCCCTGAAACTTTCCCACCCTGCCCAATTCCACCCAGCATATTCTCACACATATTCACACCCAGCTGGACCACTGCATATCCTTTAGGGGCATACCCGCAACCATCCAAAACTGCCGGTTACGGCTGGGTCCGGTCAGGTCCGGTCACGGCCACCCGTTGGCGACCTCTGCTGCGGAACCCCTTGGTTCTGCATTGTCCCTACCTCCCTGCCCTTCTCCTCAACTGTCTCCTCCTTCTTCTCCTATCCCTGACAACGCACCCGACACTGTATAATCTCCCTAGAAACCTTTCAAGCATACAAACTAATTCCTCCTTAGTACTATCGCCTCTAAATTCTAATGCCACGAAAATCAACGGAATAACTTTATCATATACTAAGTTCTCCAAATCTTGCCACAACCTATCAAACTCAACCTCCCTAAAATTACGGTCTGTCATCCCCTTAACTTCCTCTATATGTAACCAGGATGCGCACTTCGAATATCCACACACTTCCACTATTCCTCCTTACACACTCGCGGATGGTTGCGGCCCCATACACACCAAGTACAACCAAAAAACCGCGGACTACCACCCTCCTTACCTCCGCAGATGTCCACTTTACCATATCCGCCCTACTCTCATTGGGCACAAAGGCGAGAGATGGAGTCGATCACGCTCCCCTCCTCGCAAAGAAACTGAAAAAGACTATGGCAGACGATCACGCTTCAAGTCCTTCAGCAAAGTCTAGCCGACCACGACCGGTTACCACGTTCACAGAGAATAGAGAGCAAACAAAAATGCAACAATGGAGCCAAAACCACCTCA